AATAAAGACGTATTTACGTTTTTGCAGCGGTTAAAACAGAAGAAATTACGTTTAGAAACACCTTTTGTCCCGATAAGCGTCGTGCTTTTTAGCGGAAAAATCCCATCCAAAGATGCTAGGAGGTTGACTGCAAGATACTGGGTACCCTATTTGTTACTATTTGCCACTATTTGCCACTATTCGCCACTATTCGAGACTGTTCACCACTATTTGCACTATTCGTACTATTCGTACTATTCGCTATTCGCTATTCGGGACTATTCGCTATTCGCTATTCGCGACTATTCGCTATTCGCTATTCAGGTTTTCCCGACACCCTTCGCCCGGCCAAAAAGTCTGACTACAGTCTACATTAGCTGCATTCCTTTTTTGGTCGAATGCAATCAGAGTAAAAAATGTATGACGTTAAATCGAGGACAAAATGTTCATCTCGTCGTCTCCTCACTTCAACTTGTCATCTAGTCGAGTCAACTTGTTATCTCGTCGTGTCAACTTGTCATCTCGTCGTGTCAACTTGTCATCTCGTCGTGTCAACTTGTCATCTCGTCGTGTCAACTTGTCATCTCGTCGTGTCAACTTGTTATCTCGTCGTGTCAACTCGCCGTATCGTCGTGTCAACTCGCCGTATCGTCGTCTCAACTCGTCTTCTCGTCACGTCAACTTGTCGTCCCGTCGTGTCGTCCTCTCTACTCGTCGCGTTAACTCGTCATCTCCTCGCCTCAGCTTGTCGTCTCTTCGTGTCGCCTTTTCAACTCGTCTTGTTGTGTCAACTCGTCACAGCGTCACTTCAAATTGTCGTCTCGTCGTGTCAACTCGTCATCTCGTCGTCTCGTCACGGTGCTGGCCGCCATTTTGGGGATTAACAACTGTTGGGGGTCTCAAATGTAATAAATGTCCCTAAGTTTAATAAAGGTCCTAAATGTAAAAAAATTCGGCCCTAAATGTAATAACGGTCCTAACTTAATGACGATTGCAATTAATGTTCTTTCATATTCAGATGCCACAGAAGTAAGCCATAATTTCACTTTATTTTTATTGCATGTCTTATTTTACAGGAGTCAACATCAACAAACCTTGAGTTAATTATTAACAATAGAAGGTATAAATTTGAAGGAATGTCTTAAAATGTTTGGACACATGAATGATTGAGTAAGTTCTGGTAAATGTCCATCATCCCCGCCTCCTGTTCTTTTCTAAAGCTATTCTTTAGTAGAGCTTGTTTTAACAAGCGCAACATATGTAAAGAAGATGCCCGGCTAACCGATTTACCCGGCTACAACAAAGCCCGCCTTCGGATGCAAAATTCACAGTCCTTCTACCCGAGTTCAGAAAGCGTCATCGAAGCATGACGTAGCGTGAGAAAACCATCTAGATTTCATGGCATGTATACTTTATCGTTAACATTTTTTACGATTAACCGTTAGTTTTTTCCAGTTTCTACGCCTAAGAGCTTAATTTTTGGCCGCTTTGCGGCTAATGGTTAATCCCATAGAGACCCTCATGTGATAACTATTTACGCCATGCAAAAATGATAGCCCGCCTAGACGGGTGCCCCAGGGAAAGCACACAGGGTGGCTCGATTAGTAGTTTGTCTTCAAAGTAAATACGTCAACAGGTTTTGTAAAGAAATATGAAAATTGGCAGCCCCTAACCCCTCGAGCATTTTCGGACACTTCATGATCCGGTTTGGCTATACCTTCCCCAGCGTATTTTTTCAAATCCTGCGTTCTCTATTTCCCTCCTGCTCCTTATTTTCTATTTTGTTCCGCAGCCACTGAGCTTGTGCCTCTGCTTTGCTAGTCGCCTTATGTAATTACGGCAAATAAGGCTACCAATATGGCAGTCAGTTACCTCATTGCATTTAGGGCCAAAAGTTACTACACTTAAGACCTTTAATACATTTAGGGCCAAATTGTATTACATTTAGGACTTTTATTACATTTAGAGCCAAACTGTATTACATTTAGGACCTTTATAACATTTAGGGCCAAATTGTATCACATTTTGGACCTTTATTACATTTGAGACCCCAACATTCAACATTAGTACCGTGACGAGACGACGAGATGACGAGTTGACACGACGTGACGACAAGTTGAGGTGACGCAGTGACGAGTTGAAAAGACGACACGACGAGACGACAAGCTGAGGGAAGGAGATGTCGAGTTAACACGACGAGTTGAGAGGACGACACGACGGGACGACAAGTTGACGCGAAGAGAGGACGAGTTGAGACGACGATACGGCGAGTTGAGACGACGATACGGCGAGTTGAGACGACGATACGGCGAGTTGAGACGACGATACGGCAAGTTGACACGACGAGATGACAAGTTGAAGTGAGGAGACGACGAGATGAACATTTTGTCCACGATTGTCATAAAAACCAGTTCAGAGAAAACCCCAAAACGTCGAAAACAAGGAAAGAAGCCACAAAAAAGAACAAGAATGACGTAGCAGATGGATACGAAAACGAGGCCGAAAGCCCCTGAAAAACCTAGAGGGGCGGCCAATTTGCAGTCTCACAAAAAATCTCGACTTTTTTTAGGGGTATGGAATGGTCCCATTCAATTTAAAAGTGCTCGCAAAATTTGGCCTTTGCCAGAATTGCTCGCAAAAATTACACGGGTGCTCGCTTGCTCGTGCTTGCAAAATTTTTGCAACTGCTCGCATGCTCTGATTCTCGTTAAAATGTGCTCGATTGCTCGAAATTTCGTTAATCCTGCTTTGTAGTTATTTTTTTTATATATAAACGATAAATCAGTTGTGATATGGTTAAAACAAAAAGGGTGAAATATCCTTACCTCTGGCTTCAGTCAGTTACTTCAACAGTTCAGCCTGTAACTGTTTTGGAGGCGCTGTATGTATTATCGGGAAAACGCACGAAGCTCCATGACAATCATTTAGTTTGTTGGTTTATTCTTTATCATATTTCATCGTCGCAGGCTTTCTACTTGAAGCTGCTTGAAACAGGTACAGTTTCGCAGGCGAAAATACGTTAAATTAAAAACCGTTAAAGTGCCTATGAAGTAAAAAATAATTGCTGCTGATTTGAAAGGCTTTTCAAAGTAAAGAAGAATGG